CCACAATGACACTGTCTGCCATGCTAGGATGTGGCCAAGAGGGTCCTTATCACAGGCTGCTTGGCCTGGGACTTTCAGCCTCCAGAAACTATGAGCTTTTCTTTATAAAACACCAAGCTTCAGGCATTTTGTTATAGCATCAGAGAACAGAATACTAAAGATGTCTTCCCTCGTCTCTCATGGAATTAGTAGTTTTGAAAAACATCAGTTAGGCATGGTGTTGGATGGAACTTGATTTGAATTTTCCTATTATTTTCTCATGATCAGATGGAGGCTATGAGTTTGGGAGGAAGAGTACCACAAAGGTGACGTGTCCTTCTGGTCACATTTTCGTCTGGTCAGACAAAGAGAAGGAGCTGCATATTTGTGGGGCAGGTGAGGAAGATATATGGTATCTATGTGAGCATGGCTTATCACTGGCAATTGGTACCTTGTTTAAAAGTGTTATCTGTCAGATTTTCCCACAATTTCCCCCTGCCCATAATCTCTTCTATATTCTCTCAGTGGGTTTGTCTTGCTCCTAAAGGGGCAAAAGCTGACTTTTTGGAGGTTAAAAAAAAAGGTCTCAGATATCTCAATACCTTGGGCACTTCCAACGCTCAGCCATCACTAAGAAAATCTTATTCCTTAACATTTTGGGAGGAGGTGACACCTAGGGCAATGTCTTTAAGGTTTATTGGACACTTGTCTATTCTTTTGAAGTGAGTCACTATGTCCAACCACACTCAAGGGAGTGGAGCATTAAGCTCTACTTCCAAGAAGGAGTGCTTTTAAAAATGTGTGAACATATGTTAAAACCACCATCGTGATCAATACAATTGGGAGGATGGGGATACATTGAGGTTATACAAATACCTTGTTTCTTCTAACAGTCTCACCCATTCATAAGATCCTCCTGTGACAATAATTAGTGGGGTATTCTAACTGTGATTTCCTATTTCTTTGCACCTTTTACATTTATTTATTTATTTGTACCAGGAATCGAACTCAGGGCCTCGCGCTTGGCAGCCAGGCACTGTGCCGCTGAGCTACATCCCTGCCCCCCCTTTACATTTATTAATTGAAATCGTTCTGTAAGAATGACCAAATCAGTCTTCTAATAGCCTTTAGTTTTTAGGTCCACAGGAAAATTTTAGGTTTATAGCAAAATTAAGTGGAAGATACAAAGTGTTCCATATACTCCTCACCCAACCTCGCTCATTGTCAGTAACCCCCGCTAGGGAGGTAGATTTGCCGCCATTGGTGGAGCTGCACAGACATAGCACTGTCACTCAAAGAACACGGTTTGTGTTGTTTCACTTTTGATGTTGTGCACTCTATAGGTTTGGACAAATGTGCACTGATGCGTATCCCCTGTTACAGTATCACACTGACTAGTGTTTCTATGTCCCATTTATTCACAACTATATTTAAAAAATTCTGTAGAAGAATTGAAAATTGATTTTATTTTTATTTTTATTTGTATTTTGAGACAGGATCTTGCTTTGTAGTGCAGGCTGGCCTCGAACTCACTATGATCTGCCTGTCTCTGCCTCCCCAGTGCTGGAATTACAGGCATGTGCCGCCACACTTGGCTTCAAAATTGACTTTAAAGCCAATTTGGTAAGTAGATTATTCAGGATGTAATAAAGACTAAGGAAAAGAACTCTTGAGATCAGGAAATAAGGAGTTTTAGTTTTCACAGGGGACATTGATGTCGTTTGGTTTGATATACAAGGTGACTTAATGGAAAGGTAAATTAAAATGTTTAAATCTGTAGTCATGGCTGGGCATGGTAGCACACTCCTGTAATCCCAGCACTCGGGAGGCTGAGGGAGGAGCACTGCCGTGAGTCCGAGGCCAGCCTGGGATACACAGTGAGCTCAAGCCCAGCCTAAACTACATAGCGAGACCCTGTCTCACAAGACAAAACAAAACAAAAACTGTCGTCGTTTATAAATCATTTAAAAGAGAAATTTCACAAGAATAGACAGGAGCATTTTGGTGGAGAAGAATCATGTTTTACAAATATCAAAACGTACTGTAAATTGCTTAGGGTTTCCCAAGAAGCAGAGCCTGAGGCAGATGTTTGGATATTGGTAGTTTATCTGGGAGGAGATTCACAAGCAGAGGAGAGGCAAAGAGAAGAGGATACGTAGAGTAAGGAAGGAAAGAAGCCAATACAGGATCCATTGATGAGGACAGCAGGGGCCAAGCCACACAGATGCTGAGGAGTGACAAAGACTCTCAGCACCGTGTTAAATACCCAGTGCCAACAGACGAAGAGAAGGAGCTGCATAAATTCAAATTCAAATTTTACAAAGAAAACAATTCCTCTCCAAACCATATCCCCATTACATAGCAAGATGAAATATTATCTACCTCTCCACTTTGGTAATAGCTTTTTCCTAAAGGAATGGGAAAAAGTGATTTTGTTACTTCTTTAAGTTGATTAAAAATGGGATTCTATCTTTAGACTAAAATTTTAAAGATCAGAAAAAGCTATGTTTAGAGGAAATATGGGTACAAAAAAATCAACGCAGAATGTTTCATCGAAATTCTGAAAATAAAAAGGAAAAAACTCTGTGATTGGTTAAGGATTTCCAGTCGTTAGTTGAAGAGTCTCAAGAAGAGGTATGGATAGTTCCACACCAACGTGTTCGCATTTTAAGACCTTCATACTCAATTTTTAGAAGGAAAACTATCATCTGTAACAATGTATCTATCAACTCAATGTAATCAATCAGAGGTCATTGTTGTTTTTTTTTTTCTTGGTATCCGGAGTTGAACTCAGGTCCTGTGCTTGCGCAGCAGGCAGCAAAACCACTGAGCTAAATCCCCCGTCCAGAAGTCATTGTTTTTAACAAAGCTCTTACACGAGGTCCAAGTGAACTGAGGGAAAACAAAAGCGAGGTGCTCAGGTCAAAGTGCTAGTCACCACGCTGAAAGTAAGCGGCTCATTCAATTTTCTTAGCAATCAGAATTAGAGAGATAACAGCCAATTGTCCTAAACAGGCTAGTTTTACTAGGAAACCTGAAGTAAACTTGTTTATTCCTTATTATTCTGTCTCCTCACCCCTGACTTACAAGGAAAGTAACTTGGAAATGACCAATCTATTTTTTGTTTCATCTGTTGTTTTTGCTTTCCTCAGTAACTTTTATCTCTATAAGCAAGTTCTGTCCCTCTGAGGACTAAAAATGTTATGCTCCTTGGTGCAGTGACTATCAAGCCGATAAAGATGAACTAAATTGTAATTTTGTCCTTTGACAGAAGAAAGATGTCGCATCAGTAACCCCGAGAAGCTAATTAATACAAAAGGAGCCAAAACAACCCAAAGCAATCACAAGGAAGGAAATAACAAAGATAAGAGCAGAAAATAGTAAAATAGAAAAAAAAATAGAGCAAACAGGAGAAACAGAGCTACATGGAAGAGCTGGCTCTTAGCGAGCGGGGCCTGAACATGTTAGTTGTTCACAGAGCAGCATCATTAATGTCACAATGTGTCAAAAGGTTCCTTTTCTTGTTGCTGAGACCAAATACCCAACACCCGCAAGTTAAGGAAGGAAAGGTTCATTTAGCTCACAGTTTGGAGAAGTTTCAGTCCATAGTCAGCTGGCTCCAAGGCAGGGTCAAGTGGCAGAGGGAAGCAGAAGACAGCAAAAGCAAGCCCACAAGCAACCTTAGCAGTGTCTTTCGGCCCCTTTTATATTCTATCTAGGCTACTGGAATTAGGGCAGTGCCAAACCAATCAGTGGATTGATTTAGTAATCACACATCTTTAATCCCGGCATCGCACACTCTAGATTCAGCCACGTCTGAAAAAGCCCCATCTATGACCATAGGAGATGTTTTAGGGACATCTACACCCAAACCACAACGCAAGGGTAGAAGGGAGAGGAAGCTGGGGGCTGGTTTCCACCCACCAACCCTCCAATTCTGACGCTAGCTCCCCAGAGTCAGCATCAGACTCCACTAGTTAAGGGCTGTTCCACACCTGACCGCTTCAGATGTCAGCCTCAAAAAAGGGTGCCCAGGTGAACCATGCTTCTGCCAGGCCAGCCACAACTGGGAGTTTCCCACAACCCCTCTGAAGTTTTGAAATTTGCTAGATGACTCACAGAAATTCAGAGAGTGCTCTGCTTACACTTAATGTTCTATGCTAAAGGATACAACTCAGAAAGAGTGGAATGGAAGAGTGAGGACGCAGTGTGTTTCCATCCACCTCCAGATGGCGCAGCCCTTTAGCACCGCCATGTTTTACCATCTGGGAACTCACCACATCTCCTCGTTCAGTTTTTATAGTGGTCAGTCTCCAACATCACTGTGGTGGCTTGGACCTGCAATGTTCCTGAAAGGCTTGGTTGCCAGCCGATGGACTTTGGAAGGTGACTGAATCATGAAGGCCCTAACTTAATTTGATGGCATTACTGGGAGCTGATGGGAAGTTAGGAGGCAGGGCCCAATTGGATGAAACTGGTCACTGAGGCCATGGCTGGGAAGACTGGAGCTTATCCCTGACCTTTTTCCTTTCTCTCTACTTCCGGGCTGCTTTCTAGCTTTCCTCTTCTATGCCCTTCTGCTGTGATGTTTCTGCTTCACTATGGAACCAGCTGGCCATATGTGAAACCCCTTAAACACTGAGCCAAATAAATCTTTCTTCCCTTAAGTGGTTATTCTCAGCTATTTCTTTCACAGGGACAGAAGGCTGACTGTGAGTGAGGCTGAGAATTGCAGTTCCTTTGGTTCTTCTGGTGACCAGTCCCGTGCTGAAGTTACCTAAGGGGCCCCTCTCAGTCACCTCACTATCATACATTCAAACCTGGTCCATAGGGCTGATTATAATCAACAAATGACACGCATATCACATCAGAATCTAGACCAAGAACAAACGTATATTTTTATTTTTCCAAATAATAGGAACAATCGGGGTGGGGGCACATCCAGCAGAGGAGGTCTGACAGCAGCAAGAGCTGCCATATGCAGAGCTCTGGAACCTGGATGGTCCTTCCGAGTTGCCCCATTCTGGCCCAACATGGCCCAGTCTTTGTCATCCTGCACTCCTGTGAGTTGCACCAAGAAGGAGCCTGACCTTGGCGAAGGCAGCTCCCTGCAGCAGTCTAGGCAGGAAGGATTCACAGGGGACAGCTGCTTCCCTAAGACATTGTAGCAGCTGGAGAAACTTGTCCTTCCTTGCAGAGAGTTCTGGGAGCCCACCTCGGGACCACCACAGAATCACCAAGAGAGCAAGGAGCTGGGGTATTTGTCTACCAATACACAGAGTCATTGATTGACCAGGGGAATCAGTTCCTTAGTATTTTCAGCCTGCAGGATGAGCCACAGAAACCAGGGAAAGTTCCTAGGCAAAGGGTCCCAGGGACGAGAGTTGAGCAGGTGGAAGGAAAGCAAGCAAGGATAGGATAAAGCCCCAAGGGACATGACAGAAGCTACACTTGGCAATGCAAACCCTGTGATGTCATCAAGGAAGACAAAGTAGATGAACAAAACACACCCAGCCTCTGGATGGATCTCACACTTTGTCACTGTATTAAACTACAGAGATGAATCCAAACCACAGTCACTAAATCAGGGAGGAACCTGGAGACACCAGAGAGGACTGAAGTGGCCCAGCCTCACTGGGGATGAGGAGTGTGACAGAGAAGGATCCCGGAGCCATTGTTCAAATTCAGTATCCAGAGCGGGAGAAGGAACTGGAATAAACGTGAGTACAGCTCTGCCACTGGGCAGGCTGCGCAGGCGGCTCAGTTCCCCCTGCAGAGGGGAACTGGTTGTCACTCAGTGGAGCATGAAGTGCCGGGCTTTTTGCAGATCCAGAATTTCTGGAGATCACACTTGGCATCATTCCAGCCATCATCTCAAAATTCCACACAGTCTTGTTCCTCATAGTTGTTGGGCTGCCCTTTGTTCCAGTACCGAACAAGGCTGCGAAGTCCATGAGGGCATAAGTCTCTGCCCTAGCACCCTGCGAACCGTTTCTAGCTATTGGAAACTTGATGCTTGCACGCCTCCAAACACCTCCCTTGTTGGGCTCTCGCACTCTGGGCCCCGTTCACCTCCCTGGGGCTGAGTACCAGGAGACTCCTCAGTACAGCATCTATCTCTACCCCGAGCCCACTGACATCACCAGAAGCCACTCCTAAGGCTACTCTCCCCGCCTCACCTATTCCTCCCCACGGACAGTGAAGGCTCTGTTCACTGCTTGCCCACCCTGTACCTCTTCGCCAGCCCTGGTTCTTCCCCTGTGGGTGCCTATGGCACGGTGGCTGCGCCCCCTCTTGGAATCTAGGAGTACAACAAGCTATCTTTTAAACGGAGTTGTCTCCTGTGCTGTTGGCCTTATTATAACCAGATTTTCTATTAATACACTGTATTTCCCATCTTTATCTCAAGATGCAAACTGCTTCTGTGTCTCTCATAGTGGAATTTTAGACACTTGCCACCCTATGTCCATGTGGGTATGAGGATCATCTTCCTCAACTCAGTAAATATCTTATGCTGAGGGGGCTAGAACTCCAAGTGGAGCCGAAGCCAGAGACTGAGAACCCGGCTCCACTCTCTAGGGTGCTCCCTTCTCCTTGGACCTACCTGAGCGACAGAGGTGAACCATCCACCCAGTGCCACTCGGATTCCTTGTTCAGGTCTGAGAGTCCCATCCAGGCGTAGCCTTTACTCTTCGAAGTCTGCTGCAGGAAGCTCTGGAGGGGGAGAAGAGAAATCAGGAAGGAACTGTGTCCCCAGTTTTCTAACTAGAAGTCTCCTTAATCTTTTAGCAGGAATTTCTGCTTGCAGCCTAGTCTTCAGCCTTCTATTCTACTGGGCCAAGAACCTCAAAGTGTGCTCAAGAGGTCTGAGTCCTCCCACATCTGTATGCTTTGCATAGTTGTGCTCTGACTTGGCACAGAATGCTCTGACTTATCACACACGCTTGGTAATTACTGCACATTTATCTGAGTGACAAGCTCTGAGCATATCCATACTATTTTCTCATGACTAGGTTAATGTGCTGCATCAGAACGTACTAGTTCATAACTGCTGGTCAAGCACCTCACCACTTCTCAGCTGTGCGTTGAAAGACATCCCATTGGAGGGTTAAAATAAGCCACGATAGTAATATTTGCACTAGGGAAATTGGCGGATATGACTCACAGGGGATTGTTCCCCCCGGCTGGCCATTACACTGACACTTATACTTTGAGTGTTTCCCAAGCGTGGACTCATGTTCAGAACTTGAGTGTGTCCCCTTCAAGGTGCATGAGACTTCCTCATTGCATTTTCCTCCTCCCTTTCCAAGTGCACCAAGCAGCCCCTAGTCCAGAAAAACCCCAATCTGACCAACCATCACCCCCAGAACTGCCCAGTGGCCAAGTGCCCACCCCGGACTAGGACCCCTGCCTAAACCATGAGTACCTGCTCTTCAGCATTTTCCACAATGACGAGTTGAGCCCCCACTTCCTGGCAAGTGGTGATGGAGTCACGCCAGTCCCGTTGGGACCTGGAGAAGAAGTAGCACTTTCTTTGGAAGAATGTCCAGTCCCAGGGGCAGGGACGGCACAGACAGTCTGTTGGGTGAGGCAGGTGAGGCAGGTGAGGCTGGACAGTGTTTGGTGTCCTGCCCCTATGTGTGCCTAGTCTTTAATTCCTGGGGAGTCAGGGCCTCCTTTACTCTGCAAGCCGGGGAAGGCATTCTGCTCTCCACTTTCTGAGTCCCTTCCCAGCCTCAGGAGAACTCAAGAGTCTTGGCTTTCTTCTCAACTGGGAGAAACCAGGAAGCTGGTTACTTGAGTACCCACTGTGTGCACATCCCCTTGTGAACACCAAGAGCCATCCTGCCATTTACCCTGTGTTCCTAATTCACACATGAGGAAACTGAGGCTCAGAGAGCTGTTGTGACCCAAGGAAGACCCTGGCAGGTAGTTGGAGTCTTGGTTTTCCGTCACTCACCAAATCCAGTCTTCAGCTGGTTCAGTTCCTGATACATTTTCTCCTGGTTTGACTTCTCCTTCTTCCTCTCCTCACTGCTGGGGACCTTGGAGACTGTGCCAAGAAAAAAACTGCAATTCTCACTCCATGCTATGGTCTTCACTGTCCTCGCATGGACATCATATCTGAGAGCCAAAGTCTTGTTTAATCTCATTCAAAGAGGAGGAAACCTAACCCTCAGAGAAGAAGGCTGAAAGAGAAGGGAAAGTGGGTTTCCCTAAGGGAAGTAGCCCACTTCCTCTTTCTCCCTCCCCTCTCCTGCACCACATGTAGGACCTCTGAGAACGACCCCATCCCTGCTTCAGTCTCACCTGAAGGAGCCCTGTCCCTCAACCTTATCCTGACCTTGGGCAAGGATGGCCACCAGGAGCCCAGCGAAGAGAATGAGGGCAAGCAGCTGCAGGACCAGGGAGATGAGACCTTTGTCCTGACACCCTGCAGGAGAGAGGGATAACAGGGCTCCAGCAAACAATGTCTTTCCCTCAGCTTCCCCAGGGGCAGCAGTGCCACCAGCCTCCTCCTCCTCCTCCTCCTCCTCCTCCTCCTCCCCCTCCCCAGGGCACAGGAGTCCAGAATCTCAAATTCTACATCCTCAGGGCCCAGAAATCCAGAAGTGCAGCCTTTATCTCCCCAGCATCCAAGTATTTGTGAGGAGATTTCCACTCTTCCTCATCCGCCATCCCTGCTCTACCTGCAAAGCACTTGAATTCAGGCAGTCGGTATCCAAAGCTTTTTAGAGAATGTCTGGGGCCACCAGGTACCAGCCCTTCATCACCTGAATGAGTGGAGCATCAGTCAGGCCCTGGGCAGGCAGAGACCCCAGTTGGTCCCTTGTACTCCCCCGTGAGCTCCCAGAGTTCCAGCCCAGCCTCACCCAGCGGACCCAGCTGCTGCGTCCTGGCTTCCTTGGAGTTCCTCGTGTTCACTGCTGTCCCTCAGTGCTCCAGATTGCTAGGGACCAGAGCTTTTATGTCCCACCCTCTATTTCTTTCCCTTGAATTTACAGTCATGCAAGAAGAGGAACAGGGAACCGAGTACCCAGAAGAGGTGAGGAGGAGAAGCTGAACTTCTCACATTCCAGAACTTGGGGGAAGAGAGGGCGTTGGGGGTGGTCTGGGCTCTGTAGCAGAAAGAACAGGGGCAATCCCAGGCTGGGGATTTAGCTCAGTGGTGCTGCCACCTGCCTCAAAAAGGGAAGGTCCCGAGTTCGATCCTTGGTACAAAAAAAAAAGGTCAATCCTGGCATGTCCAACCTGTGAGGTGCATTTAACAAAACCAATAACCTATAAAGTAAAGCTACCTTCTATTCCTTCAGCACCTGTGGGAAGGGAGGACAGGCAATGTCCGTGGTCTTCCCAGAAACGCAGTTGCTCGTGACACCTGGCCTTGCTCCTTAGTTTGCAGTATCCACATTTATGGTAATTTCTGCTGAATTATGGCTATGGAGTTGAATCATCATTCCTGATATTCATTAAATGCCTGCTACAGGCAGGCACTTTTCTAACAGCTTTATGTATATAATCATTTAATCTTCCCAGGCTTTGGTAGGTGATCTGAAATCTATTTTACAGATAAGTCTATTTGAAGCACAAAGAGATCGGGTAACTGGCCCAAGATCACACAGCTGGTAAACAGCAGAGATGGAAACTGGTCCTAGACAATCTGTCTCCGTCATGTACACCTTGTGAGCCACAGAGAGTCACATAGTCTCAAGGAGGAAACAAAACATTCCCTGCAGCTTTATTCAGAAGCATCCTCTATGAGAGGAGCACAAGTGGCCACCAATAGGTGACGGAAATCAAGCAGTGGCTGATTGACAGATGGAAGACTATAAAGTAAAGAAAAGGAGAGCAGAAGAATTCAGGCACATACACTATACATACTCTAAGATCTGATTCGCTTTCGCCCTTGTTTTGAGAATAGGCAGGATGAACCTTGACTCGGAGGTTACCACGAGTGGGGGTAGACCAGTAGGAGAAGCAAGGAAGCCTTCACAGTGCTCTAAGTATCATCTTTGATGTGGCTGCATGGGAGTCTTTATATATCAAGCATTTTAAGGTGTGTTAGAAACTGAAAAATATATGCAGGTGCTATGATGACATGTAGGTTTTTTCTTTCATCGATTATTTTTAGTATAAATATTTTATTGTAGAATAGTTTTTGGCAATTTTGCAAATATAGAATTTGCAGTGTTCCACCCACCCAGGTTCTCCTCTGTTGACCTATGAATTAAGATGTGATAGTAATGAGAAATGCACCAGTGTTGGCTTCTTACTTACGACAAACCCACACAGTAAACTACACATACTGGATTTCAGTATTTTCCCTTAATGCCTTTTTTCTCTTCCTGAGTCCCATCCAGCACATCAACACAGGAAGAGAAGACACTGTCCACCATGCAGGGCCACACGAAGGGTATACTTGGAACAGAGTGAGCAAAGCTGGGTGGGAGAAGGCCAACTTCATAGCAACAAGGGTGTGGGACCCTCAGTGGCTTCCACGGGAGGGCGTGATTAGCTGGATTGAGTAATTCTACTGCTGGCAGTGAATTTATGCCCACTAGTAGCTGGGTACCCTCAACAAGGACGGTTGTTTGGCCAGGGAACCTTATGTACGGGCCTGAGTGAGGAGGGGAACTTGTGGTCAGGCCATCCCAGGGCCTGCTGGTTTGCTCCAGATGTCAAGGCAGCAGATCATACTGAGCCTCAATTTCAGTTCTTACAGCACATCGACCCTTTGGTGCATGACAGCAATCGCAACCTTGGTGATTGTCTCAGGGAGTAGGAGGAAGGCTCCCCTAGGAAATGAATCAAGTACATGCATTTTGTACATACAAGGCTACATAAAATCAAAAGCTTTAATTAATCCCCCCAACACACACATGGATACACACACACTTCCCCATGGGAAGCTCTGGAACTAAAATGGTCCTTCAGAGATGCACCCAGCGTGGAGGGTCTCTATCATCCTTTACACTCGTGAGCTGCACCAGAAGGGACCCTGACTTCTGAGAAGGCATCATGCTGTAGCAGAGACCAGGTGGAGCAGCAGGTCCTTAGTTGAAATCTGGGAGACCCACATCAGGGTTCACCAGCGTGTTAATAAGGGTGGAGTGAGCTGGGTACTTACATGCCAACTTCTGGCAGCCAGTGACTGACCAGGGACTTCCAATCTGCAGGATGAGCTACAGCAATGAGGGAAAGGACACAAACAAAGGGGTGCAGGGATGCCAATGGCAGGAGAGTACACAGGGATGGGATAGAGTCAGTTGACATGGTAGAGGCTATAGATGGCTATGCAAACTGTGAGCTCACTAAGGGGAGAGTAGGTGAATACAACTCACCAAGCCTCTGAATTTATCCCACACCTGGTCACTGTATTAAACTGCAAAGATGGGCCTGAACACCCACTAAGCCAAAAGGAAGATGGGGATATCAGAGAGAACTCCAACTGCATTGAGGTTGAAGAACGTGGTACAGAAGAGTCTCAGAGCCATTGCTACGAATTTGATGTGAAAAATAAGGAGAAGGAACAGGCACAATGTGAGTAAAATTCTGCTGAAAGAAAAAAGGGCTGAAAGAAAAAAGAAAAGAAATCATAACAGCATTCCTCACCAAAGGGGTGAATAGCAGGTCTTAACACACAGCTGATGAGGATATTTCTTTCAGCTCCAGCCACCAATCTGCAGGGAGGGAGACTGAGCACTCTGGAAACTCTTGAGCAACAAGTTCTGGTCAGTTTCCAGGCTATCAAATACATGCAGGTGCTGGAGGGTGGCACACCTAGAGAGGACATGGATGCTCCATGCCAATTCCTCACTGTTTCCATTGTATGTCTGGTTTACTTCACTTAACATCATGATCTCAGGGTGTATTCATTTTCCTACAAATGACTCGAGATTATCCTTCTTTATGGCAGAGTAGTGCTCCATTTGTGTGTAAATACATTTTTTTTAATCCATTCATCTATTGATGGACATATAGGCTACTTCCAAGATTTAGCTATTCTGAATTGTGCCACTCTAAACATAGGTGTGCATGGACCCTGTAATATGATGTCTTTAACTCTCTCAGGAAGATAACTAGAAGGGGAATAGCTGGGTCAGATAGAATTTCTAGTTTGCTTTTTGAGGAATCTCCATACTGACTTCCAGAGTGGTTATACCAGTTCACATTCCCACCAACAACGTAGAGGGGTTCATTTTCGCTCACAGCCTCACCAGCATTTGCCATTCCTTGATTTCTTGAAGATAGTCCTTCTCTCTGGAGTAAGATGGAATCTCAGTGTTGTTTTAATCTGCATTTCTCTAATATCACCAGGGATGTTGAGCATTTCTTCATGGATTTATGGGCCATTTGTACTGCTTCTTTGAAGTGTCCCACTTTTCCATTTCCTGATTGGGTCTTCTATTTGGGGGTCTACTCTTTAAAATAAACTCATAAATGTAAGTAAGGAAAATGTTCTTCTGAGCACTGTAAGTCATCTGGAAATATCCAGCCTGTGAGCAGGTTGTGGGAATACATTGGGTGTTCAGGGCAGAAGTATGGCTACCTGAGCACCCTCTTGAGGCTGGCATCTGAAGTATTTCCTTTTAGTGACATACAGTCCTTGCACTTGTAGAATCTATGTGAACTCCAGGTGGCTGGTGTCAGTATTGGAGGATTGATCAGTGTTAACAGAAAAAAAACAAAAATAAAAAAAGACTTCCCATCCCTTCTATCCATGTTGACCCAAAGACACTCCTTGATAAACAAATTGCATGCTAAATTCTTCCTAACAGTCAATCTTCAAGAGGTTTTTGTTTCATTGATTCTCTCGTTTTCTAGTTTTCAATCACATTGATTTCTCCTCTTACCTTCATTAGTTCCTTCCTCAGGCTTGTTTTGGTTTGATTTTGGTCTTTGTTTTCTAATTTCTTGATGAAGAAACTTAGATTGTTGATTTGCTGTCTTACTTCGGTAGCAGTTCCTCATGCTGAATGTATTTCTGGATCACAAATGTATACTAATAAAAAAGGAAGGGAAGAATTTTTAAATCCACAAAGTTACAACAACTTAAAGATTAGGTTGGTGGGCCGGGGATTTAGCTGAGTGGTTCTGGCGTCTGCCTGGCAAATTCAAGGTCCTGAGTTCAATCCCCGGTACCCAAAAAAAAAAAAAAAATTAGGTTGGTGTTATGGTTTAGATCCGAAATGTCCCCCCAAAAGTCTCATGTGCAAAGGTGTGGCCTGGTTGGAGGTGTGACTTGGAAGGGTGTATTCTGACCCCGCTCCTCCCTTCTCTCTCAGCTTCCTGCTACCTTGTGGAGAACAGCTTTCCTCCACCAGACCCTTCATCCATGCTGTTTCTGCCTTGGAGCCAGGTGATCATGGACTGAGCCCACTGAAACTGTGAGGCAAACTAAACCGCTCCTCCTTCAAGGTGCCAGCATCAGGCACTGTGTCCTAGCAATGGGAAAGCTGACTGCTACAATTGGCTTATGTCTGATGCTAGAACCCTGCAACTCTTCACTCCATGAAGCCGAGCATTGTAAGGGTACAAACAAAGCAGGTTCATTTCATAGACAGAGAAAAGCTTGAGGAAAACAGAATAAACAAGTGTTATCTCGCTCTGCTCATTGCCCTCACGTGAGCCTTAGCTCTCCTGGTACTGCTGTCCCCAGGAAGGAGAATATGTCCTGCCCAGAATGCCATGCAGGAAAGCTGGATCTGGAGTCAGCTGTTGCCACAGACCCCAAAACTTCATGCCCTGTGGTCCAGAGGAGCTGAGCCTCACGTCCTGGCACCCTGAGACCCAGGAGCAGGGGTGAGCTTTTAGCTCCTAGGGGAAATCTCCCTTCGTCCTCTAGGTGTCGCCAAACTCCGTGAAAAATGTCCTCAGTCCAGCATTCATTGCCCCTCCACACTTCCCTGCTGCCTGGCCACCCTCCTCTACCCTAAATGACCAAGGAGCTTGTCTACCATCCCCTTATGAAACCAACACCCCCCTTTCCATCTTGCTTCCCCCATGTCAGGGTGCCCGCTCCCTCCCTCTGCTTGAAACTTCTCTCCCAGGACTTCCCTGCTGGCCTCGCCTCCTAGCCTTCCTCCTACCTCCCTGGCTGCTCCTTCTTGGCTCCTCTTCTTCTCCCCAGCCTTGACATGTGCTGTCCTTCATGAGTCCTTGTTGTCCAAATCTCCTTGTGCTGTGGGGAGGGCAAGGAGGGCCAGGATTAGATTGAGTTGAGTTTTGCCAGAGCTGGAGCCAGCCTGAGGGTTCAGGAAGCAGCTAGGTCACGGGATAGCGCCAAGGCAGGCACTGGGAAATCAACCAAGGTCAAATCGCCCATGTATAAAAGTCAAACTGGTTTTAGAAACTCAACGGCTATAAGCCTGGTGTGCCCGCCAGCATTTCAGAGAAAGCCAATAGGATATATGGGAGGGGATTTATTAGGAAAATCCCCTACATGACCTCAGAGGCTGAGAAGTTCTACGATAGGCCGTCTGTAAACCAGAGAATTACAGGAGTCCGCTGCAGTTCAGTCCCAGAGCAATTAGACAATGAAAAGAAATGAATTTTATCCAAACACAAAGGAAAAGTTAAACCACCTCTATGTGTATGATTTTTGGTTTTGGTTTTGTTTTTTAAAACAGAGTCTCACTATGTATTCCAGGCTGGGCTCAAACTTGCAATTTTTTTTTTTTTTTTTGATACCGGGTATCAAACTCAGCACCTTGCACTTGCAAGGCAGGCAGCAGCACCACTGAGCTAAATCCCCAGCCCACCACACTTGCAATCTTCCTGCCTCAGCTTTCCCAGTGCTCTATTACAGATGTGCACCACCCACACTGGGCATTATTTGCATGATCTTATATGCCGAAAACCCTAAGGAAGTCACAGGAAAGCTGCTAGAGAAGTGTCAAGACACAAAATGAAACCATGCCAAAAATTTTTTTTTTTTTTTTTTTTTAACTTTCAATCCTGGGGATTGAACCAGCTAGATCACTCAGCTACATCTCCGGCCTTCTTTTTTTTTTTTTTTTTGAGGCAAACGTTTTGCTAAGTTGCTCGAGCTGGCCTCCAGCTTATAGCTTTCCTGTCTCAATCTCCCAAGTAGCTAGGACTACAGGTGTACAGCACTACACCCAGCCAGTCATTTGCATTTCTAATTTGTTGTGGTGGTGGTGGTTTTGGTTTTGGTTTTTTATTGGTACCAGGAATTAAACTTAGGGCCTCGCTGTTGTCGGGCAGGCACTGCACCACTGAGCTACATTCCCTGCCTGGTTGCTTTTTTTTTTTGTACCGGGGATCCAACTTGGGTCCTTGTCAGTGGTATCAGTTGCTTTTTTATACACACGAAATGATCAAAAAAGTAACTAACAAAAGTGTCTAAATTATTTGGGTTAATATAAATAAATAAAAACAGTTCCATTTACAATAGTATCTAAAGGAATAAAATATCTAGGAATAAATTTAAACATGGAGCAGAAAGAATTGTATACTGAAAACTACAAAATATTGATGAAAGGGCCAGGGATTTAGCTCAGTGGTTCCACCGCCTGCCCCGCAAGCACAAGGACACGAGTCCGATCCCTGGTACCAAAAACAACAACAACAACAAAATACTGATGAAAGAAATAAAACATACACAAGTAATACATGTTTTTCTTAATACGTAAGAAAAACATCCTGTGTTCCTGGATAGGAATACAATATACTTAAGATACTACCCAAGGCTATCTACGAATTCAACGCAATTTCTATCAAAATTGCAACAACTCAGGCTGGGGATATAGCTCAGCAGTGCAGTGCCTGCTTGGCAAGCACGAGGCCTCAAGTTTGATTCCTGGTACAAAAAAATTTCCATTTTTGTCAGAAATGAAACAGCCAACTCTTCAATTCATTTAAATTACAAGGGGCCCAAAATGCAAAATAATCTTTAAAAAGAAAATCAAAGGACCAATCTCCAATTTCAAAACTTAATACAAAGCTATAATAAACAAGACTGCATGGTCTTAGCATAGGATCAGCATATAAACCAATGGGAGAGAAATGAGAGTCCAGGAATAAACGGCCAGGTAATTTTTGACAATGTTCCAAATCCATTCAATAGGGAACGTCATTTGTAGGAAAAAGGATGCACCTTGAGACCATAATGCTAGAGTGAAATAAATCGGACACACAAGCTTAAATAGCGCATGGTTTCTCTTGTATGAGAAACCCAAATATAAATAAATTAAAGAGCAAAATGAAAGGGAAGAAGACCAAGAGATGGAGGGAGGAGGACCAAGGAGAAGGAGGGAGTGGAGAAGATCCAAAAAACAAGTATATGTTTGTGATATGTAACAACACGCATCATACCGAGTTGGGACATATACATATTGCATTCTAATCTTTATTACTTCCCCTTTCCATCTCCACCCTATTTCCCATCATCCCCAGATCCCATCCCACCTCGTATACTCTATCTCCATTTCCCATTGTCTGTCTTTTATTTTACTCTTTGAATTATTTATACCTGGATTCTCATATAAGAGAAACCATGGAATATATAACTTTCTGTGTCTGACTTATTTTACTTAACATTATAGTCTCGAGATGAATCTATTTTCCTATACATGACTCCGTTTTGTCCTTCTTTAGGGCTGAGTAGTACTCCACTGTGTATATCACATTTTTTTTTACCCATTCACCTATGGATGGGCATATAGACTGGAAAAGCATCATTTCTGAAGCAGTCTACGGGTCAGGACAAGATCCAAGTCCAGTTCAGGTTCAAGTGTAGGGGTAAATAGACTCTGTGTCTTGATAGAAGAAGTTACAAATATTTGGCCTTTTTTGGCCTTTTATGGAACAAAGGGTGAGTTCCATGTCCATGCTGATCAATATTCTTTACAAAAGAACTTTGAGTCTGAGGTTTAGCCTGGGGACGGGGGTATTTGCTTGTGGTAAAATTTAGTTCTGGCTAAACTCTGACAGAAGTCTTTCAATAAAGCTAAATATGCAAAACTTGATTCCAAAGTGGCACGCATTCTTCCCACCAAGAAAACAAATCAGTGGTGGAATTGACAGTTCATGAATATCTTGCTGCTTCTTCTGTTTTCACATTTCCCTCCTGCCCTTCCATTCCTCTTTCCCTTCTTATTTGCAAAAGCTTTGTTTCCATTTTTTCCTTCTATTATTTTTTTTCTTGTCCCTTCTTTCTTTTCCCTTTCTCTCTTTCCTTGTTCCTTTTCTCATTAGAACATTTTCTTCCCATTTCCCAATATCTGTTGTACATTTTGGTTCTTATTTTCATGTTTGGTTTCTCACACCAGAGAAACAATGTGATAATTAAACATGTGTGTGCTGTTTATCTCAATTAAGGTCCAATTACGGTTTCAGGGTGCATCCATTTAGCTACAAATGTCTCAAGCTTATCCTGCTTTATGGTTGAATAGTACTCCATTGTATAAAAAAAGAACCATATATTCTTTTTTTTCTTTTTTTGTATCTGGGATCGAACTCGGGTCCTTGCACTTGCGCAGCAGGCGGCGAAACCACTGAGCTAAATCCCCAGCCCAACCCATATATTCTTTATCCATTCATCAGTTGATGGGCATTTGGGCTCTTTCCAAGATACAGCTATTACAAACTGTGCCACTGTAAACATGTGTGTGCCTATATCACTGTGGTATGATGTGTGGTATGATGCTTCTAATACTTTCTGGAAGATACACAAGAAGGGGAATAGCTGAGTCCAATGAAATCTCTAGTCTTAGTTTTGTGAGAAATCTCCATACTGATTTCCATAGCAGTTGCACCAGTCCACACTCCCACCAACAGTGGATCAGGGCTCCTTTTTCCCCACGGTCCGCCAGCATTTGTTATTGGTTGATTTCTTGAAAACAGCCATTCTTCCTGGAGTGAGGTGAAATCTCAGCATTGTTTCAATTTGCATCTCTTGAGTGACTAGTGATGTTGAACATTTTTTCATTTATCTATTTGCCGTTTCTACTTCTTCATCTGGGAAGTGCCCATTAATTTCAGGTGCGCATTTTTGGATTGGGTCTTTAAATTTGAGGGGTCTGATTTTTAAAAATTCTTTATATATTCTAGCTATTAGTCTGCTGTCTGAGGAACAGCTGGCAAAAATTTTTTCCCACATTATAGGTTATCTCTTCACTCTGTTGGTGGTTTCTTTTGCTGTGCAAAAGCTTTTTAACAAGATGAGATCCCAGTTGCTAATTCTTTGTGATAGTTCCTGTGCTATCAGTGTTTTGTTAATAAAGTCTTTACCTACACTAATGTCTTCCAGAGTTCTACATATTCTATCTTCCAGCATGTTTAGTTCTTTGATCCGTTTTGATTTTAGTGTAGTGCATGGTGAAAGATATGTGTCTAGATTGACTCTTGCCATGTGGAAAGCCAGTTTTTCCAGCACTATTTATAAAAAAGGCTATCTTTCCTCCAGGGAAGATGTTTGGCCTCTTTGTCAACAATAAAATGGTAGCTGGGTATGGCAGTACACACCTTTAATCCCAGCACTTGGTAGGCTAACATAGGAGGATCACAGAGAGTTTGTGGCCAGCCTGGGCTACATGGTGAGTTCAAGGGCAGCCTGCACTACTTGAGACTCTAACTCAAATAACCAAAAAAAAAAAAAAGATAAGGTGGCTGAGTATGTCTGAAGTTCTTTCTGAATCTTCTAATCTGTCGCATGGATCCTTGGGTCTTTTTTTGCCAGTACCATACTGTTTTTATTACAGTAGCTCTGTAGTATATTTTCAAGTCAGGGATTGTGATGCCCCCTGCCTGACCTTTGTTATCCCATATTGCTTTTGCTATTTGAGGTCTCTTCTGATTCCAAATGAATTTTAGGAATGTTTTCTTAATTCTGTGAGATATGCTATTGGTATTTTGATCAGGTTTGCATTAAGTTTGTATAACAATTTTGGAAGCATGGCCATTTTCACTATATTGGTTCTTCTTACTCAAGAACAAGGGGGCCAGGATTTAGCTCAGTGGTTCTGCCACCTGCTTCGTAAGTGTAAGGACCCAAGTTTGATCCCTGGTACCAAAAAAAAACACAAAAAAGAAAAAGAGATCTCTTTCCATTTTGTAATATCCTCTTCAATCTCCTTTTTCAGACTACTGTAGTTTTCCATGTAAAGATCTTTTACTTCCTTTGCAGTGAGTTTGTTATTTGTTTACAGGAATGCTATT